ATTTTATTTTGTGATACTGGGTACTAGGCCCAGGGACTTCTCTTTTTCTTTTTTCTTTTTTGGTACCAGGTATCACTCTGGACCTTGCACTAGTGAAGCAGGCAGAACACCACTGAGCTAAATCCCCAGGCATAAAAATCCTTTAATTTGATAAAGATTTGGCACAAGGACTTGGTGACAGAACATTCCTGAGGCCCTGGGCTCCATCCCTAGCACAGGCAGGAAGGCAGATAAATTTCAGCACACGCCTATAATCCCAGCACTCAGGAGACTGAGGCAGGAGGATCACCTGGGTTCAAGGCCACCCTAAAGCACTTTCCCAGATAGAGCATGTACTTTTATCTTTGCTTTCTCCCTCTTTTCCTATTTACGCAGTCCAATCTAGCTCTGCAGAGTCAGATTCTCCCTTCTTAAAAAAAAATTGCTGAGACCCTGTGTCAAGAGAGCTAGAAAACAGTGGATTGATACGCCATGCAACCATTTACATTGAGAAGGGAAGAGGAAACCGCAGTTGGGGGGCGTTCTGGAAGGGGACTCCTTAGCTTGGTTATGGGCTGGGGTGCAGCTCTGCTCACAACCTGGAGACAGCAGCAGGGTGTCTTCCTCTTCCCCAGTCCATTAAGAACAATATCACCTGCTCAGAACACATCACTGCCATCCAAGGATGGCGAAGCCGGGCTGCAGGCTTGCACAGACAGCCCACATAGGTCTACACCCAGGGGCTCAGATTATCAAGATCTGGCTCTGATCTGCTGGGCTGCTGCTCACTGAAGACTGACCTACTACCACACAAACTCCCAGCTCCCTCCACCCTAATGACCACCTGCCTTGTTTTCCTGACTCAGTAATTGTGCCCAGCACACTGATTTGCACACGTCAGTTTGTCTGTTAAATTCCCAATAGCCTTTGGGGTTTTGTTGGTTTTTTTGTACTGGGGAATCAAACTTAGGACCTTGCACTTGCAAGGCAGGTGGCAGAACCACTGAGCTAAATCCCCAGCCCTTGGTTTTGATTTTTTGAGACAGGGTCTCACTACGTAGCCCAGGGGGGCCTCCAACTCACAGGGATGCTGCCTCAGCCTCCCAAGTGCTCAGATTACAGGCAGGCGCCACCTCATTCTGCTTCCCAGTGTTCTCTGAAATAGAGATGCTGAGAAATCACAAAATCAAGGGCAGGAGGGTAGGACTAGGATATTGACAACAGAAAATTGTACTTATTAGTGGCCCAACTACAAACACGGTACCTTGTTAAACCCTTTTTGTATCTTTAATCTACCGAAGGCTTAGCAGCCCAGTGACACAGGCATAATTAGTGCCACTTTGCAGCTGAGGAAGTCAGGTTAAGGGCCTTGGCCTGAGGTCTAATAAATCCCACACATGATAAGAAAACTGCTTATCATAAAGCAATTAGTACCTTTATAACAGCCAAATTCTTCACCCTAATCTCTATATCACCGTATCACTATCGTTGCAAAGCTACTTAAATCTTAGAGGGCCAAGGGTGTAGTTCAGGGGCAGAGAACTTGCCTGACAGGTGTTTTGAGGCCCTGACCTATATCACCGTATCACTATCGTTGCAAAGCTACTTAAAAACTTAGAGGGCCAAGGGTGTAGTTCAGGGGCAGAGAACTTGCCTGACAGGTGTTTTGAGGCCCTGGTTCCAACTCCAGCACCAAAAACACCCAAAAAGTCAAAAAGAAAAAAAAAGTAGCCGGGCGTGGTGGCTCACGCCTGTAATCCCAGCCCTCGGGAGGCTGAGGCAGGAGTTTGAGAACAGCCTGGGCTACATAGTGAGTTCCAGGTCAGTCTCAACTACATAGTGAGACCCTGTCTCAAAAAAAAAAAAAAAAAAAACCAAAAAAAAAAAAAGCTTTTGTTTAAGTAAGACGGTCAAGGTAACCAGTTCTCCCTTCTGCTGTGTTAAAGAAAATCAGGACCTCACTCCCAGCAGCACAACAAAAAAAAGATGCTAGAGAGCAGAGCTGGCAGCCCGGCAGCCAATGTTCAACAATTCCTGCTACCTAGCAGACCGGCTCGAAAACCCACTCTGAGCCAATCCAGGTGGCTGGGCTCAGTCTCAGTTGTGACCTTGAGAAGGTCCCACACATGCCTCATTGGGTGGTATCAGGTTGCCAGGAAGGTCCAGTTTCACACAAGAAAATGGAGGACCAAGTTCCCCTTGCCAGATCTAGAAAATTCTCCAGCGATCTGGGTGTGGTGGCCTGTGCTTATAATCCCAGCACTTGGAAGGCTGAGGCAGAAGGATCACTTCAAGGCCAGCCTGAGCTACAGACACCCTGTCTCAAAAAACCAAAAGTGCAAAATGGCAACTTCTGACAGCTCCACTGTTAGTAGCCAGGCTGGGGAAAGGGGGTCTGCCAGCTGCTGCTAAGGATTTCCTGAGACCCTGGAGCCACTGACCAGGGGCTCACCCGGGGGCACTCACCTACACACACTGTGTTTTTTAAAAATTAAGAGGGAGGTGTTGAGGGGTGTGGAAAGATGCATGTAAGACTTCTGCTTCTGGGCCTGGCACCCCAGAAAATAGCCTATGATTGGAGAGTCACCCCCAGGCACCTTTACTGCTCAGGTGCTCTCCAAGTCTCTCATTAGGCCATTTTAGGAGAGGAAAAGGCAGGCAAAGAAATGGCAGAAAAGAAACCAGGACTTTTCCTAGTGGTGCTGAGATGGAACTCAGAGCCTGGCACAAGCTAGACCAGCCTCCAAGACTAAGCCACACCGAGCCCTGGCAGAAAAACTGGCAGAAAAGGCCCGAGTCCAAGACCTGCCAGGGAGCAGCCATTTATGGTGACCATGTTGTCCTGGACCCAGACAAACACAGTGAGTGTCTGGAGAAAACTTTAGGGATTGCATTTCCCTGAAAGCTGTAGGCCAGAGTCCCACACTGTCACCAGTGTCCCAGGCATGACCTTAAAGGTGTGGCCGCAAGGTCAGACCAAGATACCAAGCACACGCCTGTTTACCTACGTGCTGCACACCAAGGGTCCTGGTTAAGCACACCTCTGGCCAACACACACACACACACACACACACACACACACGCCCATCTATACCAGAGTGGACTGTACATTTCTAAAGAGTAGATTAAGCACCTTCTGGATGTCTGAGTCACAATTTTTTTCTCTCGTGTGCACATGTTACTGGGTATTGAACCCAGGGCCCTTGCACTGAGCTATATCCCCAGTCCTTTCTATTTTTATGTTGACAGGGTTTCACTAAATTGCCTGGAATGGGTTCAAACTTGCAATCCTTCTGCCTCAGCCTACTGAGAGTGCTAGGATTATAGGCCATCAAGGCAGCTGACTCAGACTTCTTGAGTCTCATGAGGGGTGACTCAATGCCCCCCCCCAAAAAAAATCACCTCTCACAGTCTACAAGTAAAAGAAATTTAAGAACTTAGCATAAGGCCAAATGCTTTTTTCTCAGTATTAAAAAAAATTTTTTTTTTTTTGTACCAGGGATCAAACTCAGGACCTTGGTCTTGTGATGAAGGCACAGCGCCCCTGAGCCAAATCCCAGGCCTTTCAGTACTAAATATTTTAGTTTTTTTTGTGTGTGTGTCGCCATGCCCAGCTCAAAACACACTCTAGAGATGCTGAAAGATGACATAAAAAAAAATCTGATTATGTGATTTTTTCTCTCTTTTTTTTTGGTACCAGGGATCAAACTCAGGCCCTTGCACTTGCAAGGCAGGTGGCAGAACCACTGAGCTAAATCCCCAGCCCAAAAATCTGATTATGTATTGACCCATAATTACTTTATTTAATCTTCAATCAACTCTGTCATCCACTTTGGTATTACTTTTTAAAATCTGAAATTGGGCATCTATGCCTGTAATCCCAGCACTCTGAGAGACTGAGGCAGGAAGATTGCAAATTTGAGCCTCGCCCGGAGAATTTAGAGACTCAGCAAGTCGTAACGCTGTCTCATGACCAAAAAAAAAATATTTTTTTAAAAGGCCAAGGATGGGATTACAGGTATGCACCACCACTCCTGGCAAAAGCTAGCAAGTAAATTATATACAACTACTAAGAAACAAAGATTGGGGAAGCTAACGATCAGGTTCATTTCCTTAGTGGACTGTGAGGTTGGATTCTCTCTATATAAAAATTAAAGTCTAGCTCCATGACTTTCAAAATGTACAATCTGAGCTGGGTATAGTGGAGCACACCTGTAATTCCAGCACCTCGGAGGCTGAGGCAGGAGGATCACCAAGAGTTCAAGGCCAGCCTGGACTACTAGTGAGCTCCTGCCTCAAATAAATAACAATAAAATAGATAATATTGATAATTCACCTCTCTTTACCACGATGATTTAGAGAAGACTAAGATGTTAAGGAGAAAAAATAACTAAAAACAGTGGTGACACAGGGAGACAGGAAGGCAGTGAGCTGGTTCCCAGGCGCTGCCTTCATAACCTGCGCCGATTTGACACTCGCCAGCATCATTTGAGGACAACTAGGTCTGTGGCTCTGCGCACACTTCACCCAGACTTACCTTCTCCCCCAGAATAAAGATCATCGGACAGCAGGAGGGGGAGTGAGGCCTTCACAGCAAAGTGATCAGGCCCACTGTGCCCTGTCTGTCACCTTCCTGACCTAGGCTCCCGCAGGGACCCTATGCAGAGGTAGAAATCGGACGACCTGCGGGTAGGACCTGCGGGCCCCTACCCCGCAGGGCCCACTTTCTGTGCTGCGGGGCTGGGCTCCGGCCTAGGCCAGGCCCTACGTTGAGAGAGCCTCCCCTGGAAGCAGAGCGGACCACCACAGCCACCCACTCCACCCCGCCTCAGCCCCTGGTTCCCGTCCGGCCCACCAGCCCTCCACAGGAGCCTCCGGCCGCGCCTGCGCAGTCCGCCCTGCCCCTCGCCTGGCCCCGGAGCGGAGGACTGCGGCCCGCACGGCGCGGTTCGGCCCTCTCGGTGCGGGGGCCATACGGGACACTCTTCCCTGTCTGAAATGGGGAGGGACTGCAGGCTTACCCAAGCCCAGCAGGCTGCCCAGGAGAAAGAACGCGTACATGGCGCCGCTGGACCCTGCAGTCTGCAATGCGGAGCGTCAGCTGATTACGCGCGGATATAGACTTGACCCCACCCGACACCAAGCAGTGCGCAGGCGCAAACCCCCCAAGCTCCGCCCAGGAGGCCAGACCAATGCAAAGGCGAGGTACTGCCAAGTGCGTGGGAAGGGGCAACCTGGGCACAGCCTCCACTCATGGGGGAGCCGGGGGAGGCTGGTGTGCTGGTGAGTGCCAAGGAATGTCGGGAAGTGGGCTGCCTGGTTCAGTGGGCCAGTGAAGTATATTGGGGCTTCAAACCCGAGCGATGCACTAAACCAAGATCAAGGATTATAAAATGTATGTCTATATTTGTTTTTTTGCAGCGCAGAGAATCGGACCCAAGCCCTGTCCCGTGCTAGGACTACAACCCAGAGCTACAACCCTAGCTCCTAACACCTTTACCCCCCCACCGCCACTGACTGACACACACACACACACACGCACACACTCACTCACACCGGATTGAACCCAGGGCCTCCACGCATTCCCAGTTCTTCAAATATATTTTATGTCCAATAGGTCTCTAAATTAAAGGCTGATGGACTTAATATGAGAAAATGAAAAATAATGGAAACAAAGTCTTTGTAGATAGGGAGGGGTTGAAGGAAGGGCAGGGGAATGGGAAAAAAATAAGAATCAAGATTGATTATGTAAAGGTACACATTTCTACCAATGAATGTAATTGCATTGTATACATTAAATGTACCAATAAAATTAATTTTTAAAAACCATATGGCCATACCAAGAAAAATAAATAAATAAATAAATAAATAAAATTGAAGGCTGGGCTCCAATTTTCCATCCTCTCGCCTCAGCCTCCCAGAGTGCTTGGATTACAGATGTATGTGTCACCATGCCCTGCTCATTTCTTTACTTTTTTGTTTGCTTCTTCATTTTTGCTTTTGAGACGGGATCTCGCTATGTAGACCAGGCTGGTCTTGAACTCAGTCCTGCCTCAGCCTCCCAGGTGCTGCGATTACAGTTGTGTGCCACCATACCCAGCTCTGTACTATTTTTATGTACAGAAAAATCAACAGTGTGCTCTCCTTTCCCCACCCAGGGAGCCCGGAGATACCCCCAGACCTGCTCCACTCCTTCCTCTCTTCTTCAGACAGGCTAACCCTGGTTTATGATCATACTCCCTCAGCCTCACAAATAATGGCTGGGATTTTAGGTGTTGTGCCACGATGCCCCTCTAACAGTGTACATTTCACCCAGTTTAGTGGCAAGAGGTCATTTAATGTCTTTTGAGACAGAGTTTTGCAAGTAGTCTAAGCTGGCCTTGGAGCCCAGGCTGGCCTGGAACTCAGGATCCTCCTGCCTCAGCCTCCTGCATATTGGGATTACAGTAGTGGCTAGTTCTTAAGTCTTTGTCGTTTCCAGCTTGGCAATGTGAGCCACAGATTTTAGACCCAGGATGTTGCCTCCTGACTCCCATCTTTTCTGAGTACCATTTCCTGTTATTACTCCTATTTTATAGATGGGAATCCATGGCAAACAGGTTAACAACTTACCCAAGTTCTTACAGTTGAGATTCTAATTCACCACCCCCACCGACACTGCTTCTGTCAAGCAAACCAAAGAAGCACTGCAGAGGCAAATGTCATGCACTCACCCGTAAGTCCAGCACTCAAGAGGCTGAGGCAGAAGGATTGCTGTGAGTTTGAAGCCAGTCTGGACCACATAGAAAGTTCAAGGCCCACATGAACTACATAGTGATACCCTGTCTCAGAGGAAAAAGAAGAATGCAACTTTGGAGGTGCAGGTGCAGTTCGCTCTCTAATCTATTTCAGAGATGAAAAGTGAAAGCTTAAATGGCAAGCAGTAAAAAGTGATAAAACCAGCCAAAGTGGTGCGCCCTTGTTCCTGGTTAAAGGTGTAGCCAGAAGCAGGGCCTTGCTTAGCATGCTTGAGCCTCTGGCTTCCACCCCAGTACCAAGGGGGGAAGGTGACAAAAATGTCTTTCCAGGGAACCTGTATGGAAATAGAGAAAGCATTATAGGCAGCTAAGTTAGAAATTGATATATAGGGAGTCGGCCCTCAAGGAAGCACAGAAAGAGAATGCCGTTGGAATTGTGGCTGGAGGCACATCAGAAGAGGGCAGGCCTTGGGATGGAGAAGCAACATAGGCAGCTAAGTTAGAAATTGATATATAGGGAGTGAATGCCGTTGGAATTGTGGCTGGAGGCACATCAGAAGAGGGCAGGCCTTGGGATGGAGAAGCAGCAGTGGGGCCTGCTGCGGGAACACCTGGCCTCTTGCTCCCCTCCCTTTTGGAGAAGCCCTTTGCTCTCTCCCTGTACCCTCACTACGTGACTCCTCTGCCCACTGGATCAATGTTAGCTAAGTGGCTGAACTTGTCGTTGTAGTCTGGTCCATTCTGTACCCAGCTTGTGACTGTGCTGTATGACTTACCTCTGACAAAGGACTGTGTGACTACCACGCAGGAGCCCCTCCTGGGTCTCAGGAGTTTTCTCCTGACCTTTCCTACTTGTGACCTCCTTTGCCCCCTTGGAATTCATTCTTCAATTTCAGGAAACGTGAACTCTGCATCTCGGATGTCTATATTTCTCTCTATCAAAGGACAGGTTCTAGGTGACAGGTGTATGACCCGATAGAAGACAGAGCCAAGAATACAGAGGCTCAATAAAAATGTCCCTAACAGGAGAGTCCGATCGATAACCTCGTGATCACAACTGGCACCTCCGTGCAGAGCACAGCTGCCTGCATGCAATCGCTGTGCTGCTCCTGGACAGTAGCTGGCCTCTCCCATCAGGAAAGCCTCCTCCCTCCCCGCCCCAGCCACTCCATGTGAAAAGTTCTTTCAATTATTTTTTTTTTCTAGTACCAGGAATCAAACTCAGGACCTTGAGCCTGCCAGGCAGGTACGGCACCACTGAACTACATCCTCGACCCTTTCGATGCTGTTTTTAACCTAATTTCCTTTTTATTTTCATAGGATGTCAGAAAAAGTTAATGATCTACTGAAGTTCTCATATTCAAGATTCAAACTTGCCAGTGACTTACATTGTCTATTAGCTGCCTGTGAATAACCGTGCATGATGGCACATGCACTGGGGAGGCTGAGGCAGGAGGATTGCTAATTTGAGCCCAACCTGGGCAGTGTAGCAAAGACCCTCTCTCAAAATAAAAAATAAAGGCCAGGCGTGGTGGCACATGCCTATAATCCCAGCACTCAGGACGCTGAGGCAGGAGGTTCACTGTGAATTCAAGACCAGCCTGGGCTACATAGTGAGTTCCAGGTCAGTCTCAACCACATAGTGAGGCCCTGTCTCAAAAACAAACAAACAAAAAAAAAATTAAAAAATTTAAAAAATAATAAAAAATAACAAAGGAGGTTGGAGATACAGCTCAGCACGAAGGCCTTGGGTTCAATTCCCAGGACACTCCCTACACCCCCGAAAAAGAAAGTGGGACAGAGGAGAACAGGAAGTAACTCCGCTGCTAGAGAAGAGATCAGGAAGCTGAATCAGAACCCAGCTGATAATCAGGCTTGCTGGAGAGGGAAGCAGCCCTCCCTCACGCCTCACCTCTTTCCAGAGTAAGAAAGGATAGCTCTGAGCAGAGGGGCAACACCCTGACCCCCAGGACAAGTAGCTGGTACCCCAGGGAAGGGACGAGAAGGCAGGGTCTCTCGGCCCATTTGGCAACTCCATAGAGGCCATTGAGCCCCCCTCATTGTGCCAGTGGGGAAGGAAACGGGCGGGGGGAAGACAGGTCGGGATGGAATCATGGCTGCCCTACAGTCTGCCCCGTCTGAGGAGACGCTGGGACAAGACTTGGCCTCTCTCACCTGGAGACTTTGGGGTTCCCAGTCTTTGGGTTTCCTGAGGCTTACACCCAGCAGCCTGCTAAATGCAGAGACTGGGCCAGGGGACAGATCCTCTCCTCGGCTCCCCGCTGACAGGGGTGCACAAGACTGCACCCAAAGGATGCAAAGAGACCTTGGGTTTGGACCTGTCACTTCAGAGGTACTGAGATCTCTGGTCTGCCAAGTAACAGAGCTGGAGCCACTGGGCCTCTGTCAACACCCCTTTCATGCTGGGCACGGTGGTGCATGCCTGTGATTCCAGCACTGGGAGGCTGAGGCAGGAGGATCACCGAGAGTTGGAGGCTAGCCTGGGCTACACAGTGAGACCCTGTCTCAAACACACACACACACACACACACCCCTCCTTCATAGCCAAGCAATGCAGATAAACACTGCTGCCCTTCATCTCCCCATGTGAAACTACAGTTACATTAATCACCCTCCTCCTGAGTTCTATGCAGACAGAATTTTAATAAGGAATAGAAAAAGAATAAGGGGATTAGTCCAATTCTTTCCAAGTCAGTAGATGCTTAAATCCTCTTAAAATGCTCTCTCAAGCCTGTACGTAGCAACAGGAGCCACACAGCCCCACAGACTCGAGCCTGGAGCCACCCCTGGGCAGCACTGTCCCGTGCTCACGGGAAGGCCCTTTGTGACATCGAGTGGATGCTTGACAGGCCTCAAAGGCCCAGTGATGCAGGGATGACCAAAGGGCACCTGGAAAGGACAGCAGTGTCGTTGGGAGCAGGAAGGAGGAGTAGCCAGGCTGGGGCACAACAGCACAGGAGGGAGGTGGTACCCAGAAATCAGGGCAGAGGAACCCTGGGGCTGCCCTCTGTGAAGTACACAGTGTTCAGGGAAGGAAACCAAGATCTGGAGAGAGGAGCAGAGAGCCGGAGGTGGGGAGTCTCCTGACTTTGCCTGAACTCATTCTGTTGGGACAGGGTCTATGTATGTCAAGCTGGCCTGGCACTGATGGTGATCCTCCTGCCTCAGCCTCCCTGAGCGCTGGGATCACAGGTGTGTGCCAGCTGGTACATGAATTTATCTTGCACTGTTTCACTCATGAACATGTCCATGTTGCTTTAGAAAAAAAGCAGAAAAAAATTTCATATGTGTACAGGAAAACGAAAGCAAGGAAAGAAAACTCCACGTCTACCCTACTATGAGCACCTTTTCAGGGAACCGAAAAGATATTTTTCCTCAGAAATATGAGCCCCGCC